TTCGTGTGCAAGTTCGGTACTAGTCCCTCTAGGATTTTCCAGGTGTATATAATCATGTATCTCTCCCTCCTGCGTTCCAGGGAATACAGGTTTAGAAACCTCAAGCGCTCCCAGTAATTGAGGTGTTTTATCTCCGTTATGCGTGCCGTGAAAGTACAATAAAGCACCTAAATTACTGGGAATGGTTAAAGTCTCTTGATTTATACTCGCTGGAATGCAGGTGAGAAAGATACATGATAATATACACTTGGAAAATCCTAGAGGGACCAGTTCCAAATCTGTACACGAAAATCACTCTTTATGAAAGCAAAAGACTCGGCAGATGTGCTACGAGTGCACTAAGAGACAACACAATAAGTGTCAGAGGGAGCAGCCAAGAATGTTCAACTGCCTCCCAGCATATGTAAGGGAGATTACCAATAGACTCCTGCCTGTCTTCAAGGAAGCACTGGACAGGCATCTAAAGTCAGTACCTAACCAGCCAGGCTATGGTTTGTACACTGGTTTATGTGTGGCCAGCAGCAACAGCCTGGTTGAGCAGGCCCTGATCCACTGCGAGGCCTGATCACAGACCGGGCTGCAAGGTCTTTGACGCCTGAAAACCCCTCCAGGTATACTCCAGTTATGTACTGGGAGCCAGTTGAACAGTCATGGGCCCTGACACTTATTGCTTTGTTTCTTAGTATACTCATGGTGCAGCTGCTTTTCATTGGGGGGATGTTGCACCACCTGCCAAGTCTTTTGCTTTCATAAGGAGTGATTTCCATGTGCAGATTTGGGACTAGTTCTTCTAAGATTTGCCAAGAGTATATTATCATGTAGTACTATTTTAAACTAACTCTCATGTTCCAAGGAATACAGGTCAAGGAACTTCAGCTGTTCCCAGTAATTTAGGTGTTATTGCAGTGAAAGTTTTATTGTATATTCTCCAGGTCTGCAATTTCGCCTGCCATCATTGACTTGGCATCCTTAGTTTGGAAGGTTCTCATTACCCATCCTAACATTTCCCTAGGAGATGTAGTAGACACAATGGGAAACACAGTTGACTGCATGCTGGAGAGAAACTGTAATGAGGTGACAGTCAGCGCCTGCACAAGCAATAGCGAAGTCATCAGTATAAAGGGATGACCAAATACTGGATGGAAGAGAGGCCAAATCATTTATAGCAAGGAGAAAAAGTGTTGTGCTCAGAACACATCCCTGGGGAACACCTTCAGCTTGGACAAAGTCCAAGGATAGCACATTATTAACCCGAACATGGAAATGTCTGTCAGTTAAGAAGTTCTTAAGGAAGGATGGTAGATTGCCTCAGAGGCCTAAGGAGTGGGCTTGGGCCAAAATATTATACTTCCAAGTTGTGTCATATGCCTTCTAAAGATCAAAAAATATGGCAATAACTGAGTGGTTATTTGCAAAGGCATTACAAACATACGTATCCATAGGGCCTATGGTAGAATGGCCCTTATGAAAGCCATATTGACTAGTGGAGAGACTGTTGTGTTTCTCTAAATACCACATTAAACGTTGATTTACCAGACTTTCTGTCACTGTGCAAACTGCACTAGTAAGAGCAATGGGGCGATAGTGAGAAGCATCATGTCCAGTAGTACCTGATTTGGGGAAAGGGAGAACAATGGCAGACTTCCACAGCTGGGGAAGAACTCCCTGTGACCAAATAAGATTGAAGAGTTGTAAGAGGATTGTAAGGGCCGACTGATGTAAATGTTGTAACATCTGAATATGAATGCTGTCAGGTCCAGCTGCCGATGATCGGCAAGCTGAGAGTGTCGCCTCCAATTCTGGAAGTGTGAAAGACACATTATAAGATTCTTTGAAAGAAGAAAAGTCTACGAGTGCTAACTCTCTGGCAGACTTTGAGGAAAGAAACGAGGGGTATAGATGGAGCCTCTGAGAAATACAGACCAGATGATTGCCAATTTTAATGGCAACGTCAAGAGGGTTTGCTATAGCAACACCAGCAACCTGCAGAACAGGAGCTGGGTCAGGAGAGTATTTACTACTCAGTTTCCGTACTTTTTTCCAGACTGCTCTCATAGAGGAAGCTGAGGTGATGGTGGAAACATAATCTCACCAGCAAGTGCGTTTAGCGTCACGAATGACACGGCGAGCGACCTCTCACTTCTGCTTAAAATCAAGAAGTCTCTCTGTGGTTCTATTGTACTGGTACCTGCCCCACCCAGAGCATTTCAAACGTACTGCCCGAACACAAGCAGGAGACTACCATAGCACGCACTTCTGAGAATGCCTGCCCAAGGTTTGGGGTATAGAATGTGAAGCTGCGGTTAAAACTGACATCGAGAAGAGGTGTAAAAGCTCATCAATGGAGGATGAAGAAGGAACCTCACTAAAAGCAGTTATAGCCTGAGATGGGATGGAAAACAGCAGTGTAATTTTGGTTCTTGTAAGCAAACACCAACAGGGGAAAATCGGAAGAGTAACATCTGAAGCTCACCCCGATTACCCCTGAGGCTGCGGATATTTCACTGTAAATAGGCCATGATGATCAACGAGAAAGATACCAGGAATTCGCAGGTAAGGGTACCAAGGGACTAGAACGGTTAGAAAAGTCCATGTGGTGGCAACGGAAAACGTTTAAGCAGTGAAGGAATGGAGCGCAGCGAAGAAAGGAGTTGTGCAGATGAAGGAGAGGGAAGAGAAGGGACAGGAGGTGGATCAGTGTCCATTGATGGTTTAGTCTCTTCAATATATTGAGATACCTTCAAGCGTTTTGGAAATCAGAGAGCTAGTGAGAGGTGAAGAAACAGATAGAGAGACTGGAAAAGTAAACTGAGGGAGAAGAAGGGAAGGAGGAGTTAAATGAGATTTGAGCAATGGGGATTTTTTGGACTTCTGAGAAGTAGAGGGGTGATTGGGGGGAGGTATTGTATGAAGTCTTGTCGATACCGGGGCTTGTGAGGGAGAACACGAAGAAGTGAGAACAGACTGAGGTGTTGAGGTAGGGACATCTGAGCCTAGGACAGCAAAAGAATTAGAGACAGGAGTGACTATGGAAGGGGCAACCACAGAGGAGGCTGCAGAAGATGGGACCCCAGAGGTGGGGGCACGTTTAGAAACACGAGAATAAGAAATACGGGGGAGTCTCCCTTGGAGGCATAGATGAGAAACTGCCATAGCATAAGAGAAACCTTCTGCTTCTTTGAGGCAACGGATTTCTCACTCATTTAAGTAGCCTTGGCAATGGCGAGAGTAAGAAGGGTGAGCTTCCTGACAATTAAGGCAAAAGGGAGGTCGACTACAAGACGTATTAGAATGGTCATCGGCACCACAGACTGGGCATTCGGCTATAGATCTGTAATATTTCGCTGGGTGACCAAATTGCCAGCAATTTCTACACTGTTGTGGTGTAAGGATCACCTTTCGAACTTGTAAACAATGTCCTGCTACATAAAGAGAGGCTGGGAGTTCACGGCAGTCAAAAGTTAATCGAGCTATATTGCAAGGGTATTGTCTCCGCCCACGGGCAGGAAGGATATAAGTGTCTACTTTGAGGATTGGAAGGTCCTGGAGTTCCAGCTGTTCGAGAATGTCATTGCCACATGTCATGAAATTTTGTTGGACAATGGTATGGGGCAGAATGACAGTGCCACTACAAGAATTAAGGAATGATGTTATTCGATAGCGATAGGAATAGTATCGATATGTGAAAGGTCACGAGCTTGGTTAGCATTCCGGACAGTAATGATGTGTGTACCACTCTTGAGAGCGTGGAAGGATATATCTCTACCAACATGGCGTAGGAGTGCCTTGCCAATACTATGGTTGGAAAGAGAGTCAGTATAGGAAGTTGGTCGTAAAGTAAAGAATTTAATCCATTGTGCAGTTCGAAACTGATCGTGGAAAGGGAGGGCATGATGGGTTGGTCATTTCTGAGAAGGGTGAGAAGGAAGCAAAGAAGTAGTATCAGGTAATTGCCGTGGGCATTTCGGAGTGGGACTGGAGTCGGTCCGACATGGGACGGGCCAGCGATTCGAAAATTGCAGCACCATAGAGGGAGAGGCCGGAAGCATAGTCAAAGGAGAGCGGAGGTCAGACAAATCGAAGGAGTCAGTTGAAACCCCGGTACCTGAAGCAGGTGATGAAACAGCACCAGCAAGAAGTACAGAAGCATTAGAAGTGTCCGAAGAGCGGTTAAAAAATGAGGCAGGATCAGAACAGGGTGCGGTACCAGTAAGGGGCCCGGGGGTAGCAGGTTCATGGACTAGGGCTTCCATGGTTAGATTGCTTCTATCTTTTTGTTTTTAAGAAAAAAAAAAAAAGAAATAAGAAAATAAAATAAAAATAAAACAAAGGAATAAGAAAAGGGGGGAACGGGGAGGAAAAGTTCCTAGGAGGAATGAAAGGGCTGGAAATCTCCCTCCGCACCCAAGAGGACCTCAACACTGCAAGTAGCGCAGATGCGGCATGGAACCCGTGCCATACCCTACCCTTCATGCCAGTAAACCAGCAATCCAGGATAGCAACCTCACATCTGCCGAGCTACCTTGGTGGACAAAAGAGAGGGCGGCCAGATATCCGCCACAAAGCATACCTTCTTTGGCCACCAAGGAATCCAAAAGGCGGCCTCCAGAGATACACCCATCGCCTGAAAGACATCCAAAGCCACCCCCCGGGAGACCGGAGAGGGATCGAGACATCCCCAGGCGATCCAGATTCCACGGCAAACTACACTACCGCCAAGAACCTAAATGGAATGGGATGGACCATGGTACCCTTACCCATACCTAGAAACCAGTGTGCCTGTGGGAAGAATCCCACGGGCCAAAAAGAGGAAGGGAATAAGGAAGGGATGGGGAGGAGGAGGCAGAAAGGGAAAAGGGAGGATGGGATAGGGAAAGAGGGGAATGGGGGGTAATTAGGTTCATTCTGAGGAAAGAGACAAACAGGTCTAATTCCTCGGACCAAGATCCTCTTCACCATGCCAAGGAGCCCCCCTTGAAGAGGAAAAGGATTCAAAACAATTTAAAATTAAGATTTATTATAGCATTTAGTACAGTACATACTTGGCATTGCATATTTACACTGCAAAAAAAAAAAAATGAAATAACTGGTACATGCTGTACTCTTATTTGGTATTACAGACTAGTAAAAGATCTTCAGTAATGTTGTTTTAACAATAATGCACAGCAGCAAAAATAATATAAAACAGTATTTACAATAAAAATTTGCTTGCTGTTTGATATTAAATTAAAAAATTGGGCTTTCAGATTCAATACAGCACTGTATTAGGAATACAATGTGATAATCATTGTCACACATCCTATTTATTAATTCCAACAATGATTTATAGGTATTTGATAAAGTTTATTAACTGCATTAAAACTTATCATTGTTTTGTTCAGAAAGTAATGTAATTATTTGTCATGTGCAAAATTGAGCACCCTTTATTTACATTAAATAAATACTTCCTTTTCCAACAACAGTATAAGGCAAATTATTTACCGCATAAATCTGCTGTACATGCAGTTTTAAAACTACATAATAACTCTTAGAAGTAAGAGTACTGTAGATTGATTGAATAGCTATGATTTACAACTTTCTTTGGATTAACCCCATTGTATTCATGATTTATTTCTGATTACTTAACCCTCCCAGTGAAGAAAACTAACTAGCCATAAAAGTAAGATACTTTTCTTTAGCTACAAGTGCACTGAAGTGTCATGTAGAGGTCCTACCTAATTTCTGCATCATCATTGGCTTACCATTATATTCTGTTTTTTATTATTATTACTAAACCATAGGGGTATTCTGTTTTCCTTATTCTTTCTCATTTGTTATGCCTTATTTTATGATTGTTTCAAAATTGTTCTTATTGCTTCCCTTCTAGTTTCTCACTTGTGTATTGATTCATTGAATAATAATAATATTTGCCAAACAAATTAGGAATTCTTTAGCAAATGTACATAATACGTACCTAAAACTTGAAAATAGTTAAAATATTTGAAGAAAATTCTACATACAACCACCCCTATGGAAAGGGGCAAAGATAGACAGATTTTGACTAAAAATATATCAGGAAGTTACCCCAACCAATGCAATTACATTAAAAATATATTTTTTTCATTAGTCATTTTTACACCCTGCATCACTATACACTTGACTGGAAATAGATTAAAGAAGAGGCCCTCATAAAAGTTAAAAATATCTAAAATATTAAATTAAATGAATTCTAGTCAAATAACCAAACTTTGCCAACTGTAAATATTGTACATTCAGTGTAACTTGCTTATTAACCAACAACATTTTTAGCCATTGCTTTGGACCAGTGTGCCTCTCTAACATACTGAATATATAGTACTACACTGCTATGTTCATGTGACTTAATTTATCAATTGTGTAATCCATTATTGTTGTAAATGTTAATTCTTAATGTATCTTGCTTAGTTAACAGAATACTGGGGAACAGTACCTGGGCCCTTTATGTACCTTTGCAATCTTCTGACTACCATCCAAATGATGGCTATTGGATATAAAATCATTATCAAACTATCTGTGTACAAGTACAGTAGAGTATGTATATGTCAATATCATTTTGTCTATCTATTTACATTTTATATTATCTGCAACACTCATCATTCATCAACATATTCAATTCTGAATCAACAAAAAACTAACATGAAACATTCTCCTGAAAACATTTCAAAAATCAGTGGTGGGAACATGAAGAATTATCCTGAAAACATTTCAAACACAAGTGATGGGTTTTATGAACTACATTAGTGGTGTGGTGTGCAGTGACCTCAGTGGATGGTAAACTTTTGTATATTCTACTTTTAACAATGCAAAAAATTACAAGTAAAGATTGTATAGTGCATCTCTATTGGGAAAACAAAGTCCTTGGCTTTTAGTGAGATATTCCTGGCCAAATTATAGTATGTGTATTGTGCTAACAATTTATGACATTTTAATGTTGTTTTGTGTGAATTGATCTTCTCAATCGCATTCACAACATCAACATCAGGAACAAGAAACTTTCCAGCCTTGACATAACTTACCTATTCACCAAAGTACCTACTACACAAGCCATCGATCTCCTGCGCAGGAAAATTGACGATTCACTTGATCTTCCTATTCCAGCCAGCGATTTCATCGACCTTGTTGAACTATGTGTCGGCTTTACGTGTTTCTCTTTCAAAAATCACCTCTTTCAGCAGACTTTTGGACTACCCATGGGTTCGCCACTCATTGCCGTCCTGGTGAACTTGTACATGGAACATCTGGAAGCCGAGCATTTCTCCACCATTATTCCTCCGACTGTCACCTGGCTCCATTATGTTGACGACATTCTCCTCATAACTCCCAGACGCTTCAATGTTCAAGCTCTCCAAGACAAACTCAACCAGGTCGAGCCCTCAATCCAGTTCACACTTGAAGAAGAAGTCAACAACACTCTTCCTTTCCTTGATGTTCTCTGCAAAGCTGACCACGAACTTCGTTTTACCAAAACTAAACGTGGTGTAATTATAGGCTTCTTCCTGCGAGCACTCAGAATCTGCAGCAATGAGTTCCTTGAGGAAGAATGCACTATAATTGAACAAGTATTTTCTAAACTCCATTATCCTCGTCACTTCATCAGAGACTGCAGACGGCGGGCATTAAACATCTTCAACACACCAAGAGAAGACACTGCCCAGAAGATACATAGTCCTCCCCACCAACTCCATTGCCAAACATGTTTCCAGCATCTTTTCAAATACCTCATTCCAAGTATCTACCTCCACAACCACGACCATCAAGGACATTACCAGTAATAGACAGGACAAGCTTCCATCCTCTGCAGGGGTATACCTAATCCCTTGTAATGACTGCAGCAAATTATATGTGGGCGAAACATCAAGAGACCTCCAAACACGTATTTCAGAACACCAATACTCAAGCAGGTCTGATGATACAAGGAATGCCTGTGTACAACACCGCAATTCACACAACCATTTAATTAACTACAGAAACTCAAGACTTATTGCCAGAGAAGACAACACCCAATACCGAAGAATCCTAGAGTCATCGCTTATCTCTATAACCAACAATTTCAACCAGAACAATGGCTTCTACAACATAGCTGAACCACTTGCCAAGAAACTCCTTCATCGCTATCCCACATAAGAACATAGGAATGGAAGAACACTGCAGAAGGTCTGCTCACAAACTTATCCAATCTCCCTTCCAAGCTACCCAAGATTCTAGACTCTATAACCCCACTCAGTAGATCATCAGATGCAGCATTCTCCACCTGACCTCAACATTCTGAACCTGACTATAAATACTCGCGTACCTTCCACCCCAGGTAGATCTGTTTGCGACTTGAAAAAGCCCACTGTGTGGGCGAGACGTTGTCAATAAAGGATCACATTAAACTGCATATGTGTTTATATTTCCATTGTGTCGGTATTTTATACCATTCATTTCCATGAAAACATCATATTTTAAGTATATACTGTAATTGTTCAGAACTGAACATATGAGCTTTGTTACAATGAGAAACTCCAAATGTTGCACTATCAGCTGAATAAAATGTAATGAAGTTTTCTTTGGAGTTGTATCAAATAAAAGAACTTTAGAATAATTTTCTTTTACCATGTTACAAAAATGTGAAGTAGATTGTTACAAGTTCTATTTCTGATTAATGCTTAAAATTTTCACAATTTTACATTGATTGCATCATTTCAATAACAATTAAATACAGTAAAATTTCAGTTAAAATATAGTATTTAACTGGACATTAATATAGCAGTTTAAAAAAATTATTACCATAAGACTGATATGCACTATTAAGCATATCATTAAGGGACTCCATTAGTGATACAGTTCCTATCTGTTTATTCACTTGTAATTGTAAATGTAGTAAGGCCAAGTATAAAAATAAAATGAATAGAACAGAATATCAAATTATGTACCTAATGTAAACTGCTTATACATAAGAATTATATACCACACTGTATAACAATTACAATTGCACTACATCTCTCATGCAGCCTAAATTTAGTTATAAAACATGTACAGTACTTTATTAATATTCTTCAGAATTCCTGAATTAACATTATTCATGACTGTTATGAAGCATATGTTGTATTTTTTTAAATGAATTATGAATGACCTTAACTGTAACAACTATTCACACTTGTGATTTAAATACAATTTTGTTGTTGTTTCTGAACATGGTAAATATGATGACTTATGCGAGTTATATCTATATTGATGTTTTTCATCAGCTTTAATATTCTGTAGGTGCATTAAGCTTAATCACAATTAGTTATCAACTCCTGATATCCACTGTCTCTACATTAAAAAAAATTTCGTGGTGTAATTGTCCTTAGTACAATACACTGAATTATAATACTGTTGTGTCTGCTTGAATACATTAATCCTTTTTCTTGAGGTACTCTCTAGGCACAAGACCAGAGCGCCCTTTAAGTGTTGCCTTCCACCATCCAGAACTGCCAGTTGTATCATGTATTTGCATGACATCGCCGCGGTTGAAGCTTAGAGCCTGATCAATTGTAGCTATGAAGGCAAACTTTGCAACATACCAATCTGAAATGCAAATATTCTTCAAATTACAATGGAACAGCAGAGTATTAACAAGATCATAAGTATGTGTAGTCCAAACTGGGGTACATGAAGGAGTTTTCTGCTTATACGGCAGGTTGCATTCTGGGCTACTGCTCTAAAGTGAAAATTGCTGTAAAGTGAAACACAGTTAGTTAGTTAGTTTAATATCTTAATCATGCACCCCATACCCATCCTGTGGGCGGTAGTCAAAAGATTACAGAGGTACATAATGGGTCCAGGGACTGGACCCCTTATGTACCTCTATCAGTTATGATAGCTGAACTAGTTACAAAGGTAATGAACTCCAGGTAGATCTGGTCACAATCATGGCAAGTTACAAAGGTAATGAATCATTCTCACTCCTATACATGGTTAATTACAAAGTAATGAGCCAGTGACATGTCCACACCCGGTCACAATTGTAAAGTTATAAATACAAGTATTAAGTGGGTCATACACCCACACGAGCACGCGCGCACACACATACACACGAGGGCGCACGCACAGACACATGCACATGAGTGTACAAACATACACACACATGGCAATGCTTTATTTACAGGAAGTAAAGTCAGGGTATTTCTCCAGAATGGTCTGTAATATACCACTGTGGATAAAATACTTTGACATTTCTTGAACATTTCTGAGTGAGTTGTCTCTAAATTCATTAATTTTATCGCACTCCAGTACATAATGACGCAGGGTGTGACAATAGTCCATCTGGCAAAGTTTACATTTCGTTTGGTCTACATCTGGTGGTGGTGATTTAACCTGCCAAAGATACTTGTTACCCAGCCGGAGCCGGGCAGTAGTGACATCCAGGAGTCTGCTTATTTTGTTGGATGCACCATAGACATGTGACTCCTCCTGCATGATGGAATGATGATAGATGGACTGACTTGTGTCACTCTCCCTAAGTCTTAAGTCAATAAAGTTCACTTGAAGTTCTTTTTGTATTATTGTTCTCAAACTGCTAACTGACAACCAAAGATTGTAATCTACTCCCTCTTTGAAAGCATAACAGCTTAGCCAATTCATCAGTTCTATCATGCATCTGAAGACCAATGTGAGATGGAATCCACAGCATGTGCACTCTGACTCCACTGTCCACAATCTTACCATACCTGTGTCTGGCTTCTAACAAGCATGCCACAATTTATACTTAATGAGTTGAAAGCATTTATGGATGACAGAGAATCAGTTACAATTAAAGTGTCAACCTTAGATACATGGACGCATTTGAGTGCAAGGAGTATGGCAAACAGTTCTGTTTGAAGGGTAGAGGCCCAGTTATTGATGTGTGCTCCAATTTCTTTATGAGAACCATCACTCTGTATGACAACAGCAGCACTACCAGCTGCACCAGTGGACTGGTGAACAGAACTATCAACGTAAATAATTTGTGAAAGTGTTCTGTGTGACTAAGTTATCAATACAGCTTAAGGCATCATGTTTGGCTTTAAGACGAAGCTTTGGTTGTGATTTAAGAAGAGTTTTGGGGGGAAATGGAGGAATGGTAGTTTGGAATGGGGTAATATCCCATCGAGCGGGGAAGAGCCTCTGTTGCCTAACTTGACATAGATCATGTAGCTGGTTCATGTGGAGGTTGGTTCCAGTTTTTTCGATCCATCTGGAAGGATGTTCACCAGTGCTGAGGAAAGTTTGGAGGGTTTCCGTGCAGGGGTTTGAATGGACTAACCTAAGCATACTGACCCCAATAAGGATATTTCTTTCAGTAACACGATCTGTAATGCTTGGAATATTAAGTTCTTTCCGCATATTTAAAATTTTGGCAGTACGAGGGTATCCTAGGATGATCCTCAATGCTTCGTTTTGCAGTTTTTCCAGCCCTTCAAGCTTCCAGTCAGACACAAGTGCGAGTTATGGTGCAGCATAATCAACCAATGATCTAATATAAGCAAGATATATCATTTTCACAATTTTAACATTAGCTCCATACCTGGGATGAAAACCTGCCATAACTGTAAGTGCTCTCAGCTTTTCTTTGTACTAGCAACAAAGTCTCGTTATAACAGGTCCAAGCAGTGAGCATTAAGACCATTGACAAATTGTTCCCAGTCTGTTTGCCTCAGCTCTGTCATACGCTCTCTGGCAGCAGCAAGAGCAGTTTGGAAGAGGCTCAACATTTCAGGGGTACGATGGTTTCTATAGGCTAGGCCTAGTCTGCGAGCAGTACGTTTCAATGTTCGAAGTTTAGGATCATTGTAATAGGTATGGATTTTATAAGACTTATGATTATTATGGATGTCAGTTGGATTTAGAGTAATAGGAGGTTTCAGAGGTGGCTCTGAGTAGTTCTGAATACTGCACACAAGGTCATTGTTAAAAGTCTCAAAAGAGGTACACTCATAGGAATTATACCAGTCAGTCACACGTGCAACAAAGTCATGTTGATCAGGGGCAACATTAAAACATTTCCGTTTTAATATCCCACCAGGAAGGATAGTATTACCAATATCTAGAGAGGTTAGCCTTGGGAAATGATCTGATGATATATCTGTTACAATGGAAGACTCACAGCTGGCAAAAGTAATGTTGAAGCCAAGACACAGATCAAGGATGCCTCCATAGATATGTGTGGGTTCAAGGTCACCTACAATTTGCATATTATCATGACCGTTTAAGAGTGACAACAGTTGATTACCATTACGATTACCAAACTGAGAGTTTCCAATGCTTTTGTGTCTTGCATTAAAGTCACCAATAATAAGAGTAGGTTCAGACTGAGCACAAGTTGGGAGCTCCAAGTAATTAAACTTATCAGCAGGAGCATACAAGTTAAATATGTTGAGAGCAGAGTTCCCAATATAAATCCTAACACCGTGATACTGTAGCCCCTCTGTCTTCTTATGTGCAAGAAGTTGATGGGGAAGTAATTTTTTAATATACTATATAACGCAAGAGTTAGTAGATTTGAGGTTATATGCAACAGATGGCAAACATAGCCTTCACACTTCATATATTAAGTCAGCAATAGAGCTATGCCTAAAAAATGTATATACAGTACACACATTACTTACCTTAATATATTTTTATCCTTAACCTATAGTGAGTGGTGAATATATTTATTGTAGGAAGTCTGAATAAATGAAGAAGAGGTGTAATTGAAAAACTGCTGCATTAGCGAAACACCATAAAGGGAAGCCCATGTGTAAGTTATAATATGTGCTGTTAGGTGAGCATGGATTCTCTGTTTTGTGAATCATTAAGATCAGATTTTGTGTGAGGTTCTTTGTGGAGGATGACCTCAGGGTGGCTCTGCATAAATAGCACCCAGACTTAAAGCCCTGGATTTGAATAAGCAGGCACATCCTTCACAATGAATATCTCAGGAGCAAAACCAGGTGTAAATATTTCATGCCCTGATTAAATATTTGCTGTGTATGCCTAATTTACAATTTGTTTATGTAAAAGGTGTATGCTTTCTTTCTTAATATAAAGATATTATTAATCCCTTTTTGCAAGTACTGTATCTTCATTGTCACACTGCATAGTCATTTGCAGTGACAATTTGTATATGAAGACAAAGCATTTGTTTTGCTAGATGATCTTTTCACTATGGGACTTATACTGTTGTACAGCAAAGCTTATACTCCTAAATTTTAGGAGTACATGTATATTGTTCTATCTGTATGTATGCCTTTACTTCAGGCATTATTCACAGAAAGATATTTTACACATTTGAACAAAGAGGTACATTGTTGATAATACAAGATGTCAAGGAATACATAGTTGACAGAAGTTTGGGAACCAATCGTCCTATGATAAGACGATCATTGTTATCACAAAACACAGACTTTTGCCTGTTGCTGAGCAGAACTGTCTTATGATACAGAAAGTTTTAACACTGCTTGACATAATCTCATTCATAGATAACAACACAACCTACCAAGTAAGCTTAAAATATTTGCATTTTTGAGACTAACTAAACAGCTATCATTTATAATTCTGATTATTCCTCTATTCAAATGATCAAACAAATCTTCAACAAACTGAGATTTTAATTAAAAATCATATGCAATATTTCAGACAGAGAATTTTTGTTTTAAGAGCATTTGAACATATGAATGGAGGGACACTGCAACAGGCCTTCTGTCCTATTTTGTAGTGGAGGGAAGGAGGTGTAGGGGTTGTCCTAGGAAAGGATGGAGGGGTAAAAAAAAAAAAGAGGTTTTGTGTAGAAGGGGCTTGGACATACAAAGGCATATGTGAGAGTGTTAGATCGGAGGGGAGACAAATGGTGTTTGAGGCTTGATGAGCTCTTGGGGTGTGAGCAGGGTAATATTTTGTGAAGGGATTCAGGAAAACTGGTTAACTGGACTTGAGTCCTGGAGGTGGAAAGTACAATGCCTGCACTTTAAAGGAGGGAGGTTTGGGATATTTACTGTTTAGAGTGACAGTTAAACAGTCATATCTGCATGCCTCTGCAAAGACAGTGATAGTGTGAATTATGGTGAAAGTGTTTCTTGTTTTGGGTCACTGTGCCTTGGTGGGAGATGACCGGTGTGTCAAAAAAAAAAAAAAAAATATACAGTATTTCATTAATGTGTAGAATAATGCAAAGTTACTGGTATTTTCAAAAGTTTATTTTTCTTCTTTCAACAAACCAGCATATCCCACCAAGGGAGGGTGATATTATAAAAAATATGGTAAATTTATATAAGTTGTGTACTAAATAATGATTAATCTTTACCTCCTATTTTCTCTGGCTTGAGTCTCCATGGGGCAACTGTGTCTTTACCCTGGTCTGTATCTTCAGAATCCTGTTGAGAGCTGCTATCAAAACTGTTATCATCTGGAGTTTCATAATGGTCATCATCAAATGCATCATCATTTTCTATTTTAGAATCAGTGTTCTGGATTTCCTCAATTGGTGGCATATTCTTCTGTGTTATTGTAGCTCCATTTAAAAGGTTGTGTGGCCTGGGTGGCAGCACGGGCTTAATTAATTTTTGCTCAGAAACTCTCATGGATGATGTATTTTCTGGAGAGGGCTCAAATTTAAGAGTTGCCCCATCCACTTTCTCATCTACAGTGACATCTGGGACAACTAATTCCTCTCTACTTTTGGATTGATCAGCTTTTTCACTTAAAGATTTGTTTTTATTTATTCGTGCAATCATGTCTTTAACTGATGTCCCTTGACCTAACTGCTGTACATTTTTTGCACCATCACTTTCCTGAATGTTATCAATCTTTTCAAATCGGTTTGTTAAGACCTTCAGGGTGTTCCTTGGATATGGATCTTCTTGTCCACTTAAAAATGAACTCAGTGGTTTAGAGTGTTCTTCAATAATTGAGTTTTTTCTTTCATTTTTATTTGGCTTGATGGAAACAATGGTCTGAGAAGGAGGAACCTGATACATTTGAGAAGAAGTAGGTATAGGACCTGATATTTCATGCACAGTTTCAACCTTGGCTGTTTCTTCAGCATCAGTAGGAACAGGATTGGGAGGTGGAATTTGATATTCAGCATCTATGTTTGACACTATGGGCACTTTGTATTCAGAGTCATCATCTGCTACTGAAGGAAGTGGAATTCCTTTAGGAGGTAATTTGGGTGGCATTACTGGGTTGGATGATCTTTGAGGATATTTATTTAAGTTATGTGAAGGGCTAAACTCTGATATATTCATAAATATTTCATCACTGAGAAATCCAACTAAAGAATTAGATGAGGATCTTGCGGGAAGAGATGGCATTTCACTAGTCTTCTGGTGAGGTATGTCATCAGAGAACACTGACTCTTTATCTGAATTTCCAAAGTTTATGGCTTCCATTTTGTTATTTTCCCTCTCTGAATCAAGAGCCTTCAAAAAATTTTCACGCCCAGCTTCAAGTACATCTTCTTCAATTTCACAATAAATACCGATAGGATCATCAGCGCCCTCACTGGATTCTGATGGAGCATCAGGAAGAGGTCTTACTACCTGTTTGTTTAAATGATCTTGCAGAAAGTTTGGAAGTGGTGGCCGCCCTGGAGGTCGTCTTCCTAAACTCGGAGTTGATGGCAAAGTGGCCAGGGAGGGAGGATGAGGAAAATCATCAGGATATACCTAAAATGAACATAAGCTTTAATCACAGTACTCCTAAAACATTAAGGAAACACTAATTTGTTTTGAAAATTACAAGTAGTATTTGTATTTCATTGACCTATGAAGAATGGATAGACAAAACCTCACAGAGTTTCTGATTGCAGTAACAAAAATAAGTATCCAGTAGTGAAGAAATTGGATTTACTTACTTCTTGTGACATACTGATACACGTACTATATTAGATTGTGATGCAATATTTATATGTGAATTGAGTATACACAGATAGGCAAAGGCAGATATATACTGGAAGATATATATTGTAAATCTGAATTTCCATTACTGTTTGTCATTTTTAGTAAAGCCAAAGAAGTACTAGAACATCAATTTAAGAAAGACTTTCAATATTGCTTTTAACTTTTAATAGGTATAGGAATAATACTAGATGCATCTGTTTCCACAAATTCATAGAGAGTTACATTACCAGAGGTCCCATGAATCTAAAATCAGTGAATATAAAGCTATGTCAGCATGATAAATTTTGTGTTCATTCTGAGTGTGAGAAGACAGTTGAGCACATTTTGAATGAAATCCTATGGTTAATTTTCATTTTAGAGGTTGTGTGTTAAACTTGCCAAAATGGCTACCATGAGAAAACTCACTGATAATCGAATCCATTCACAGGTTGCCCATCAGTAACAACACTGGGTTATTAAATTTTGCAAATAAGTAATCATCTTGAATTTTGTGTTGACAAATGTACTGTATAAACAAAGTATGCACAGTACAAATTATCATATTCTGTATATCAAATGAAGACAGAATTTGCCTATACGTATCAATATAGTCTCTACTCTCTGCTTTAATATACAATATTGTATGTCATTCCAAGCAGTCTTAGCATGTGTTGGTACATTTATTTCACTGGGTTCAAAACTGGCATGACTTTATAATGAAAACATAATTTTAATAAAAAAGTGGTAATAAAGCATGAAGCATGGGACAATATTTTACGTGAAAAAATTAAAGTACATTAAGGCTGATACAGCATGATAAACATTGATGACAGCCTTGATTTATAGTGGAAAATATCTCATCAAGAATAAGCCAACTAAGTATCAAACGATTATCCCAATATATTTCTGACATGCAAAGTTGTACTGTAAATACAGCAGGGCCCCACTTACATGGCAAGTTAGATTCTAGGCCACCGCCAAAAAACGGACATCATAGGAAAGCAGAACGCTATCTTCTCCATATAAATGCCAGATAACAAGTTTACATTAGCAATAGAACTAGGCATATTCTAATACTTGTTAATTTAATTCCTGCTAAACCACTAACTACCTCTGGTGAAGTATAAAAAACAATGTTCAATTTGAACCATATATCATATATGTGCCTAGTATTAAGTAGTCTGTTAACTATTAGGTTTAGTCTGCCCGAAATACCCCAGCATGATAATGGCTTTCTTTGTACTTAGCAAATCAAAATTGTAATTACATAAAGTAAACTATACAAAGAAATAAAATCCTTAATCCTTAAAATCAATAAAAAGTAAAATACACACACAGTACACTCCTTACTTACCTTAAAAATATTTGTAGTCTAAATTTCTAAATAAATAAATAAATAAATAAATAAAAATAAATAAATAAATAAATGTAGAGCGAGAGGTGAGTACGTAGCATTTATTGTAAGAAGTCAGGACACTCCACCCACACGTAATATACTACAACATTTAAGGCACCCCAGAGCAATAAAATACATATACAGTACATTCATTACTTACCTTAAAATATTTGTAGTCTTAATGTAGGGTGGAACGCCATGTTCATCAAGAACTACAAGAAGCCCCTGTCGAATGCCTTCAGCATTCTATGGAGAGGGAACATGGATACAGGGGCCATCCCACACTCACTAAAAACAACAGACATAGCCCCACTCTACAAAGGTGGCAGTAAAGCAATTGCAAAGAACTACAGACTGATAGCACTAACATCCCATATCATAAAAATCTTTGAAAGGGTGCTAAGAAGCAAGATCGCCAACCACCTAGATACCCATCAGTTAAACAACCCAAGGCAACACAGGTTTAGAGCAGGTTGCTCCTGCCTGTCCTAGCTACTGGATCACTATGACAAGGTTCTGGATGCTGTAGAGGATAAAGAAAATACAGATGTAGTATACACAGACTTTGCAAAAGCTTTCGACAAGAGTGACCATGGTGTAATAGTGTACAAAATGCATGATAAAGGAATAACAGGAAAAGTTGGTAGATGGATCTATACCTTCCTGACAAATAGAACACTAACAGTAATAGTAAACAGAGTAAAGTCAGGGGTAGCTATGGTGAAAAGCTTTGTTCCACAAGGCACAGTACTCGCTCCCATTCTATTCCTCATCCTCATATTTGACACAGACAGAGATGTAAGCCATAGCTCTCTGTCTTCCTTTGTGTATGATACCCAGATTGCCATGACAGTGACCTCCATCGAAGACACCACAAGATTCCAAGCTGACATAAACCAAATCTTCAAATGGTCCACTCAAAACAATATGAAGTTCAATGAAGAGAAATTTCAACTACTCAGATTTGGAAAACTTGAGGAAATTAAAAGGATATCAGGGTATATGACATTCTAACCATACAATAGAGTGAAAAAGTAATGTGAAGGACCTGGGAGTGATAATGTCAGATGATCTCACCCTCAAAGACCACAACAATGTATCTTCCACATCTACTAGGAAAATGATAGGATGGATAATGAGAACCTTCAAAACTAGGGACACCAAGCCCATGATGATTCTCTTTAAATCGCTTGTTCTCTCTAGGCTGGAATACTGCTGTACACTAACTGCCCCCTTCAAGGCAGGTGAAACTGCTGACCTGGAGAATGTACAAAGAACTTTCACAGTACACATAAGTATGATAAGGCACCTAAATTACTGGGAATGGTTGAAGGCCCTTGATCTGTATTCCCTGGAGTGCAGGCGAGAAAGATACATGATAATATACACTTGGAAAATCCTGGAGGGATTAGTAGCAAACTTGCACACAAAAATCACCCATGAAAGCAAAAGACTCGGCAGGAGATGCAACATTCCTCCAATGAAAAGCAGGGGCACCACAAGTACACTGAGAGACAACACAATACGTGTCCGGAGCCCAAGACTGTTCAACTGCCTCCCAGCATACTTAAGGGGGATTACCAATAGACCCCTGGCTGTCTTCAAGAAGGCACTGGACAGGCACCTAAAGTCAGAACCTGATGAAGCAGGCTGTGGTTCATACGTCTGTTTGCATGCAGCCAGTAGTAACAACCTGGTTGATCAAACCCTGATCCACCATGAGGCATGGTCTCAGACTGAGTCGCGGGGGTGTTGATCCCCTGAAACCCTCTCCAGGTAAACTCCAGGTGAGAGATGAGTAGTAGTTATTTGTAGGAAGTCAGGTGTGGGAGGTATGGTAGCCAGCCAGGCCAGGCCACCCCACCCACACATAACATACTACAAGATTTAAAGTGGCCTAGAGCGATAAAATGCATATACAGCACACTCATTACTTACCTTAAAATACAGTGGACCCCCGCTTTACGATCACCTCCCAATGCGACCAATTATGTAAGTGTATTTATGTAAGTGTGTTTGTACGTGTATGTTTGGGGGTCTGAAATGGACTAATCTAATTCACAATATTCCTTATGGGAACAAATTCGTTCAGTACTGGCACCTGAACATACTTCTGGAATGAAATAATATCGCAAACCAGGGGTCCACTGTATTTGTAGTCTTAATGTAGGGTGAGAGGTGAGTAAATGAGGTAAAATGAATAAACAAGAGAGAGAGAATGAGTAAATGAGAGAGGAGAGAGATGCGGAGTATGTAAACAAACAGACGAACGTGTCTGGTTTTGGTTCATACACATTCATGTACACATAACATCTCATATTTATGTTAATTTATTCTACAGTGGGGTGTATTTATCATGTTTATATGTTAGGTAGCAAGTTTATAATGTAATTTTGAAAAAAAATCATAGATTAATGAAAATGTTTATATTAACGTAATATATGACATTTAATGTGCCTCAGAGTGATTGTTATTGCGTATTATTATTATTAGCATTATTAATATGGCATCCTCAAAACTAATAAGATACTCTTAGTGATTTTAATGTGTACCTGCATGCCAACACAGTGTGTAAGTTTATTTAGGTACAGGTACACATAAGTACAAGTATAATTATCAGAGAATATATATATAACATGAAATATGTAACTTTAAAATGCTTGAAATTTTGGAAAGTTTCCAGACATAATGGAGAGACGCAGTGCTCATGGAGCTCACGGAGAATGTAAACGAACCAGGTGGGGTGTGGTGATCGTATTAGAAAGTCAGGTGGGGGGGGCCTTATAGCGAGTTTTGGTCATAATTTGAAATATCCGTATTAGTGGAACGCTGTGAAGTGAAACGCCATAAAGCGGAGCCCTACTGTATAGAGAGAAGCAGTATAAACAAAAGCGATATTATAGCTTAATATTTATCATTAATTTAAGACCCTTAATTTTCACAGAAAACCCCCCAATGTGTATCAGTAAGCTACCCATAATGGAAGACACCATCAAGTTACCGGGTCATAATCCGGGAGTTGTGATGATTGTGGATTCAGCAATAACTGTGGTGGTGGTGGTGGTAGTGTCTCAGAGCTCCCCACCACCAAGCTCTCAGGATCTACTTCCTCATACACCTTGGAAGCATGAGAAATAGCCATGTATATTTTATAAAAAGGGCTCAAATACTATTCTACAGTGTTTGCTGTACTGAAATACCCTGGCATGATAGTGGCTTTCTTTGTACTCAGCAAACCAAAATTGTAATTACACATTGTAACCTTTACAAAGAAATAAACCTTTATCTTATCTTTATCATTTCAATATAAGCATACCAAAAATCTGTATACAATGGTCTATAACCAACATGTAGCCATTATTTCCATTTATTAGTGTAATTATGCAATGTACTGATTTTTGTACATCACTCACTTCATCTGTGGCATCGCTAACAACATCGTGATAATAATAATATTCATCAATAGGTTTGGTGTCTGTTCTATGTACTGACTGTTGAGGTGGAGGAGCTTTGGGTGGTAGGATTATTTCATTATTTTGTTTATCCGTATCTCCCCTGTTATTATTATTATTTCCAACTCCTTCTGCTAAGGAATTACTTGAAGTCTGTGAACGGATTCTGCCATACTTAATACTTCGATCTATGGCTGCTAGCCAATCCATTTTATCACGAGCTGTTCGTGCAATGAACTGAAAGAAAAAAATATTTTTAAAATTAGTTTAAAATTATACAGCATCTGATTAGACAACATTATATTTCACAACTATTAAAGCAAATATAGAGAAATTATTGCTGTAAACTGCAGCCTAAATTTTTTTAGTACAGTAATCAACTTAGGTTTATCTAATGCAATTGACAACATAAAGAATATGATATCCTTATATAATATAATTTTAGTTAACCATAGCTGACCTATACTGATAATGAAAGTAGTTGTTGATCAAAATACAACAGGAATGCTGTTCATACTGATACAGGATATGTAAAATGAATACAGTATAAAGATAATACTGTACATTATTTGTAAACCCAATATTTGCAGCATTGTTTTGGGAGAAGAAAAACCTTCCATTAATATTGCTCTTACATTTACTCTTAACTTTTATATATATTTCTTTCTTTCAACACACCGGCCATATCCCACCGAGGCGGGGTGGCCCAAAAGGAAAAACGAAAGTTTCTCCTTTTACATTTAGTAATATATACAGGAGAAGGGGTTACTAGCCCCTTGCTCCCGGCATTTTAGTCGCCTCTTACAACATGCATGGCTTACGGAGGAAGAACTCTGTTCCATTTCCCCATGGAGGTAAGAGGAAATAAACAAGAACAAGAACTAGAAAGAAAATTCAAAGGGGTGTGTATATATATGCTTGTACATGTATGTGTAGTGTGACCTAAGTGTAAGTAGAAGTAGCAAGACGTACCTGAAGTCTTGCATGTTTATGAGACAGAAAAAAGGACACCAGCAATCCTACCATCATGTACAACGATTACAGGCTTTCGTTTTACACTCACTTGGCAGGTCGGTAGTGTACTTCCATGGGCGGTTGCTGTCTACCAACCTACTACCTAGGATTGTCATTATTATTATCATCATCACTTCACCACAAAAAGGTAAGTAGAATTACTGTAAATTATGTATAGTACTATAAAATTACTAGTATGTACTGTAGGTTTTAAGTAGCTGTATTCTTAGTTGGTTCAGAAGACAACTGAACGATTGTGAAAAATTAATTTCATAATTTGGAAGTTTTAAACAATAGGTAATATTGTACACCGTCCCCCTATTGGTCTGTTTAGTTAAGTAGAGGGTTCACTCTATAGCCCATAAAATATATGTACACTGTATACAAAGAGAAAGAATACGAACTGTGTGTGTTTTTTTCCCTGGACCGACAATTTCAAATGCAGCATCTTTTTTACGCTGGTCTCGAATATCTTCACCTGTTGCTGCTCGTGCTGAATATCCAGTTAAATCAATTGTCTGAAAAAAATTATGCACACTATAACAAAGACACGAAAAAATAGGTAAATATGTCATATCTATACAGGAGGGCCCCGCTGACATGGTGGGTTAGGTTCCAGGCTACCGTTGAAAAGTGAAAACAAATCACACTTTTTTCACTTTTAAATATATAAATGCTTGACAGCATGTTCACACTATCATATATAAAGTTAGCAATAAAACTAGACCTACAGAAAACAATAAAAAAAGTAAAATGCATATACAGTACTCTCATTACTACCCTAAAATATTTTTGGCCTTGATATAGGGTGAGAGGCGAGTAGTAATTATTGTAGGAAGTCAGGAGGAGATGAAACCAGCCTCTGCTAGCTTCGAATTTATCTTCAGCACCTTCCTCACTTCTCTCAGCCTTCAGAGAATTGGAGAGACTTAGGGCCTTGGACTGGGTAATGGCTTGGCTTAAAGGAACATTGTGACTAGTTTGATCTTCAATCCACACCAGCAAAAGTTTTTCCATGTCAGCAATAAGGTTATCACATTTTCTTATAACTTTAGTGTTCACTGGTGTAACACTTTCCTTCAATACTTTCTCCACAGATGCCAGCGTTAAATGAAAACAGTGTGTATATATAATATACGTAATAACTTTTAAACACTTAAAAGTTTGAAAAGTTTCCAGATGGAACCAAGAGACGGAAAGCTCATGGCAACACACCCAAGTTCACTTGTAGAAATAAAGATTATTATTATTATAAAACACCATGGGGAGGGTGCTCCATAAATGTGTCTATGGTGTCAGTTTTTTGGGTGGGCAGTCAGATTTACATATATTTTTTAAGTGTCCACTAACTGTTGATATACGTTCGTCTCACACTATGTATACATATGTATATGATTTTGAGTGCTTTCCCAACAATACAAACACCATACATTTTGTATAAGTTATGACTCACGAAATCGTAATGGCACGATTGCAAACAAACCATACCCCGGCTAGCTGGTCTAGTGGCTAACCCAACGGGCTGGAGTTTTGAGACTCTCTGACCGCGGGTTCAATCCCGGCCGGGGTATGGTTTGTATAAGTTATCTTCACATTGATGGAGTATATACATAACAGCAACACTCCCATTCTCATGCAACACGCCACTTTTAGGGCAGTGACACTATGAGTGAGGGCATATGAAAGGAATATTTTTCTACAGTTACCCCCAGTAATGCTACACTATACTACATGTATACACTGTCTCTGGTGTTGGACTAGAGATAACGTAATTCTCACTTCTACAAGCCGCCCTGCCACCACAACCTCATATTTATGCCAATTTGTTCTACTGTGGTTAAAGTAAAGGCAGTTACTTTTAATTAATGTTGATTGGGATTTAGATTACATGTACTATATAGATTTAGTTCGGGGTCGATGTCAGCATTCAGTATTTAGGTTAACTGATAAATATTTAAATGATAATTAATTGGTTGTATTATTATGTTTAAATGAGATGTAGCTTGTTTCTTACATACAATCATACCTCACCTTACATCATTAATTGGTTCCAAGAGCCAATGTAACCCGGTTTTTGATGTAAACTGGACATAATGTCTTAAAATGATGACAAACACCGTAAAACTAGCATAAATAACTCAAGAAAGGATATAACTATCACTAAACCTTAAAGAATGCTAAAAACACATTTTATTCATACTTTTTAACCCTCTGACTGTCGCAACCCCAAATCCTGAGGTGTCAAAAAATTTTTTGGGAAAAAAAAAAAATGATTTTTTTTATGAAGTGATCGTCTTTTCCTGATGGTAATGACACCAAAAGTACGAAATTTGATCGAAAATTTATGGAATTACATTCACGCGAAGTTAGCGAACTTGGTGATATATACGCATCGGCGATTTCACCCACTTTGAGCCCTATTTTCGGCCAATTCCATTGTTCCAGTCGACCAAACTCATAGCTATTTCTTTAGAACTCCATTTTCTCTATCAATTGAGTACAAGAAACCGCCCATTTACCGATTGCAACTACCCAATAAAGTGGTCAGAATTTGGCAATTTGGCCAATTTCAAGCAATTTAAAAAAGATGCCAGTTTCAAAATAGGGTCCAGAATAAACAATGCAGACATTCTTGGTACTAAAATAACATACCCTCTGTTCATTAGTCACGTCTCCAGGCCCCTCATATATTACTCTTACTTTCTATTTTGATTTTTTATTCACACAAAAAATAGAAGATTTACTGTTATGCAGACTACTGCATTATTGTAAAAATGGTATAAATAATATCAGTACACTAGTGAAAGAATATTAGACTCCCCAGTTGACGTGTATTGGACGTGTGGTGTGATTTGCTTACTCTTGAACATTGGTAAAAATCGAACATTTCCAGTAATTTGAGCTCAATTTCAAGGTCGTTTTCATCGTGAAACTAATTAAAATCATCTCTATTTCTGTAATATGTTTTCCATTCTACCAAATGAGACCAAGAAAACGAGAATACAACCATAAATACTATAGGAAAATGCACCTCAGAGTTGACATTTTAATCCAAAAACACGGTCGGAGTTTTTTTTTATCTCATTATGCACTGCGTGCTGCAGGATTTTTTATACAGTGCACACTGACCACACAGACCCATTCTCTCACATGTGGGCATACCAGCTTTCTCCTGCTTGATTTGAAGCCACTAGAATTATTGAGTATATATACGTCCAAAACACTGGCTCGTAAGACATATTGTACGGCCGAAACAGTCAAAGGGTTAAAGAATAATGAACACAATTAAAAAATTATGTTATTTACCTTGTGGTTTGCCCTTAAAAATGCCTTTAATTTATCTTCCATTGTAACCACATTACACTTGGAATCACTAGCACTATCCTTCTTAGGACCCATGGCTAACACACACACAGTAAAGGAATAATCACAAAAAATAACAGAAAATGACAAAACAAGCACACACTTGCATCATGGGCAAAAATGCATATGGCATCCTCCTTGTTTTGAATGAGAACCAGCAGCAACACTGCCACGCAACAAGACGGCAGAACTATATACAGTAAGACCCCACTTATACGGCAGGTTAGGTTCCAGGCTACCACCGGAAAGCGGAATACCATTTTTTCCACTTATAAATGCATATAAATGCTAGACAACAAGTTTACACTAACATATATTAAGTTAATAGTAGAACTAAACATTAAAAACAATAAAGAGTAAAATACACACACAGTACACTCATTGCTTACTTCAAAATATTTGTAGTCTTAATGAAGGGCAAGAGGTGAGTAGTATTTATTGTAAGTCAGGTGTGGTAGATATACTAGTCCTCCTGGATAACTCACCCACACGTAATATACTATGACATTTAAAATGCCCCAGAGCGACAAAATGCACATACAGTACACTCATTACTTGCCTTAAAATATTTGTAGTCTTAATGTAGGGTGAGAGGTGAATAGTATTTATTTGTAGAAAGTCAGGTGTGGGAGGTATGGTATCTCACTTGGCCACCCTACCCATTTTGACATTTAAAGTGCCCTAGGGCAATAAAATGCACATACAGTAAACTCATTACTTACCTTAAAATATTTGCACTGTAGTCTTAATGTAGGGTGTGTATGTATACATTTTTTTTATGTTTTAATGGTTTTACTGTATTTTAAATTGTCTTTTTTTTTAGTTTCTTTTATTTTCTTGCACTATACCACTCATTCATGTACCCTTACCTCACCTATGGTATTTGTTCATGGGGCTCAACCACAGCAAATCACCTTAAACCTTTAACAACCCTGCAAAGGACTGCAGTGCGGCTGATTACAAATTTCTGTAATAGACAGCATACTCCTCCGCTTTCAAGAGTCTTAACTTACTCAATATACAAAACATCCACACTTATTATTGTGCCTACTACATGCACAGAACACTATACTCAAATATAATCCTCCTCTCAAACTTCTACTTTCTAACTACAGCAGAACACACAACCATAATACAAGACACAAATCACTCTTCAATATTCCTCATGTCCATCTCTCCCTGTGCAAGAATGCTATGCATGTAAAGGGCCTGAAGATCTGGAATTCATTACTAGAACACACTAAAGGACCCCTGCCTGCAAATCAATTTAAGGCCCTACTTTGAGATCTCCTCATCACCCAAAATTAACCAGAAAAGCTGTACTTAATACCTACTATATACTCAAAAGCAACCCAAAAAGTACCAATGATGTCTCAATTTCAATACTGAATATTGTGCTGAAGATTGCTCAACCATGTACTCATTACCTCAAAAACTGGATGTTTAAATTTTATTGTTTTGAATACTAAATTGTAATACAGTACTTCATATGGTAAATTGTTTAAATTGTTCCACTGTAAAACTGTAATGCTTCAAAATTGTAATGTTTAAATTTCATCGTTTTAAATACTCAATTGTACTTCAGATGTAAATTGTTTAAAGTGTTCTATTGTAATTGTAATACTGTAATTTTTATAAAATAATTGTAATACTGTAATTTTTATAAAATAATTGTAATACTGTAATTTTTATAAAATAATTGTAATACTGTAATTTTTATAAAATAATTGTAATACTGTAATTTTTATAAAATAATTTAAAACTATAATTATTCACTACTAACCTTCTCTACTAAACCTATTAAAGCCATATAGCATTACCTATTAATACTCAAGTCTCTGTATTCACTGTAACTCACCTAATGACCATTTAATCTGTTACAGCCTAATTAATCTTAAGTTAATTTTAAGTGTGCCTGAAATGCTCTGCATACAAGGGGCTTTTGGCATGTACACTCAACTATTATATTCCTTTATACAACTATATATCATGTCAAAATAAAATTATTATTATTATTATTATTATTTTAAATATATTTTTAAGGAAAAATTTATTTATTTCATGTCCTTTGATTATGACATAGGTGAAGTTGCTGAGTGATGTAACGTTGGACATAATGGCATTCACTGAACTGAAATTTACTCTAGAAAACTGGCATAAAGGCAAATCTGACATAAGCCAAAATGAAGTAAAGCAGAGTATGACTGGAATTTTGAAAAAAAATGTCACAAGTGGATTAATGAAAATGTCTATAATAACATAATATTCAACATTTAAGGTGCCCCGAGCAATAATTATTATTATTATTATTGTGTCTTCAACACTAGTAAGACACTCTGAGTGATTTTAATGTACCTACACACCAGAACAGTGTGTAAGTTTATTTAGGTACAGGTATGCATTACCTGGAGTTTACCTGGAGAGAGTTCCGGGGGTCAACGCCCCTGTGGCCCGGTCTGTGACCAGGCCTCATGGTGGATCAGAGCCTGATCAACCAGGCTGTTACTACTGGCTGCACACAATCCAACGTATGAGCCACAGCCCGGCTGGTCAGGTACTGACTTTAGGTGCTTGTCCAATGCCTGCTTGAAGACAGCCAGGGGTCTATTGGTAATCCCCCTTATGTATGCTGGGAGGCAGTTGAACAGTCTCGGGCCCCTGACACTTATTGTATTGTCTCTTAACGTGCTAGTGACACCCCTGCTTTTCATTGGGGGGATGTTGCATCGTCTGCCGAGTCTTTTGCTTTCGTTGTGAGTGATTTTCGTGTGCAAGTTCAGTACTAGTCCCTCTAGGATTTACTAGGTGTATATAATCATGTATCTCTCCCGCCTGCATTCCAGGGAGTACAGGTTCAGGAACTTCAAGTGCTCACAGTAATTGAGATGTTTTATCTCCGTTATGTGCACCATGAAGGTTCTCTGTACATTTTCTAGGTCAGCAATTTCACCTGCCTTGAAAGGTGCTGTTAATGTGCAGCAATATTCCAGCCTAGATAGAACAAGTGACCTGAAGAGTGTCATCATGGGCTTGGCATCCCTAGTTTTGAAGGTTCACATTATCCATCCTGTCATTTTTCTAGCAGATGCGAATGATATAATGTTATGGTCCTTGAAGATGAGATCCTCTGACATGATCACTCCCAGGTCTTTGACGTTGGTTTTTTGCTCTATTTTGTGGCCGGAATTTGTTTTGTACTCTGATGAAGTTTTAATTTCCTCATGTTTACCATATCGGAGTAACTGAAATTTCTCATCGTTGAACTTCATATTGTTTTCTGAAGCCCACTGAAAGATTTGGTTGATGTCCGCCTAGAGCATTGCAGTGTCTGCAATGGAAGACACTGTCATGCAGATTCGGGTGTCATCTGCAAAGGAAGACACGGTGCTGTGGCTGACATCCTTGTCTATGTCAGATATGAGGATGAGAAACAAGATGGGAGCGAGTACTGTGCCTTGTGGAACAGAGCTTTTCACTGTAGCCACCTCAGACTTTACTTTGTTGACTACTACACTTTGTGCTTTGTTTGTGAGGAAATTATAGATCCATCTACCAACTTTTCCTGTTATTCCTTTAGCACACATTTTGTGTGCTATTACGCCATGGTCACACTTGTCGAAGGCTTTTGCAAAGTCTGTACATATTACATCTGCATTCTTTTTGTCTTCTAGTGCATCTAGGACCTTGTCGTAGTGATCCATAAGTACAATTATGTATCAGAGTACGTGGTACCTCGAGATATGTAATTTTTTCATTTCAGAAGGCTGTTCGAGTGCTGATACCGAATGAATTTGTTCCTATAAGGAATAAAGTAAATCATATTAATCCATTTCAGACCCCCAAAAATATACATACAAAAGCACTTACATAAATACACTTACATAACTGTTCAAGTTTTGAGCTGTTCGTATCCCGAGGTACCACTGTATGTATAAAATATGCAATAACTTTAAAACACTTAAAATTTTGGAAAGTTTCCTGACATAGTCGAGAGATGCAGAGCTCAGGGAGGATGTGAGCAAATAGTGGTGCATGGATGCCGTAGTAGCAAATCAGAGAGCCGTATAAATAAATTTTTGGTTATAATTTTAAATGTCTTTATTAGTGAATCACTGTAAAACAAGGCCCTCCTGTACTAGTGTAGGTTGCCATAAGCAATAGCTATCTTTGTTTTGCTTTTAAATCTGATAGCTAGTTTATTATTATAATCAAGAGAAAGGGTTAAACTCAGAGGGATCATACACCACATGAAGAATGGGAGGTAATCAGGTTCAATCCAATATAGGGTAGGATAGGCTCATTTCCCTGGATCAAGAGCTCCTCACCAGTTTTACGACACCTCCCTTAAGGGAACTGAAGTTCATCTCTGAGACAGTAAACAATATGTGTATCTACAACACCATATACAGTGAACCCCTGCTTAACGATCACCTCCCAATGCGACCAATTATGTAAGTGTATTTATGTAAGTGCGTTTGTACATGTATGTTTGGGGGTCTGAAATGGACTAATTTACTTCACAATATTCCTTAAGGGAACAAATTCGGTCAGTACTGGCACCTGAACATACTTCTGGAATGAAAAGATATCGTTAACCGGGGGTCCACTGTATTAACTTATTATTGTTCATTTCTCTGCAAACACAAGATGGTTTAGCAAGGAATAACAACGCATCTGTTCATACATAAATATGAATACAGTATTTGATTTGAATTTGAGTTTAACATTAAGGTATTAATAATTTTATTAATTTTTGGCTTGTGATTGGTCTCACCTTGCGCTGTCTTTCATCAGTCTCCTTGTTGTACAGATAAAGCATCCCACTGGCTGCCACACAGTGATAGTTCTTCACATTCCGTAAGAGACCTTTAGTTTTCTTCATAAGTATTCCATGTCTATCACATGTAGCTAGAAAAACCAAAGGCATTTTTAAAGGCTATTATAATATTTGTCTATATACACTATTAATAAATATGGAGGCACTGATTTTTATTATCTGGAGTGGTGGACAATTTTTATTTGATGGCCAGTTTAGTTTAATTTTATACACAGGATGATGAAAATCATTTCAGAACCAAGTTGAAAGTCACAGGACTGACAACTCTTTAAACAAGGCATAAAAAGACAGATTATATAGGAATTTAATTATAGTGACAATTACATACTGTATCTTAAACCTTGACTATTTTCTCAACCTGTTTAATTTGATATATACATGTACAAGAAAGTAACATAAAACTTGCCAAGTCAGTGCAGGACAGCACTGACTAGAGTAATAACTATGGAAATAGAAATAAAAGTACAGGTATTTTATGGTCTACCGTCTAAGTCCGCATGCTTTACAAATTGCAAGATTACATTAGGTGCTCCTTGACTTACAATGGGGTTACGTTCCAATAAACTCACAGTAAGTTGAAAATCTTTCTTTCAACAAACCAGCCATATCCCACCGAGGCAGGGTGGCCCAAAAAGAAAAACGAAAGTTTCTCTTCTTAAATTTAGTAATTTATACAGGAGAAGGGGTTACTAGCCCCTTGCTCCTGGCATTTTAGTCACCTCTTACAACACGCAAAGCTTAGGAGGAAGAATTTGTTCTTTTCCCCCATGGAAAAAGGGGAAAATAAACAAGAAAAAGAACTAGAAAAAAAAAATAGAAGAAAACCCGGGGGGTGTGTTTATTATGCTTGTGCATGTGTGTGCAGTGTGACCTAAGTGAAAGTAAGAGCAAGCGTACCAAAAAAACCTTGCATGTTTATAAAAAACAGAAAAAGGGAACCGAAATTCCTCCTCATGTAAAACAATTCAGGTTTTCGTTTTACCTCATTTGGGGGGCGGGACTGGACCCCTGGGCAGTTGCTGTCTCCCAAACCCTACTCCCTAGAATTGAAAATTTTTTAGTCAAAATGATAAAAAAAACCATCCAGGGGCCGGATTTAAACCCGCAGTCAGAGAGTCTCAAAACCCCCGCCCGTCCGTTTAGCGCGATTTCGTGAGTCATGATAAATAAATAAGAAATAAAAAAATACTGTCACTAAATTTGAAAATAAACAAAAAATTTCTGGGGGTGCCCTGGGGATTATTTAAAATAAGGAGAATCTTAAAGGGGTGTGTTGTTTTGACGATGAATTCTTTCACCTGGGGAAAAAAACAGTTCAAAAACCCAGTCTTCAAACAAGCTAATTTTGACGTGATATTCTTTACCGGGGGAAAAACAGTTAAAAAACCAGTCTTCAAACAATGTAATGTCTCGGCTTTTTTTTTTATGGTGAAAATAGAGGGGAAAGTGTATGTTTGTTCCGTTTTGAATTTTTTTTGGGTTCTTTGAGGGGTAGTGACTACTAAATGTGCATCACTTATCGAACCATTAAAATGAAATATCGTCAGTCAACCATATAGTATGTCTTTCATTTTTGAAAATTTGTTTGAGTGCCCTTTTTCATGGGATTAGACCCCTAAAGTGAAAATAACCATAGAATTTTATTCAAAGGATTCAATTTTTTTTCCATTTCAAAAATCTTTTTCACTCTGGACTACTTTGAATGCTAATATTAACTGGGTTTAGAGCAAGATTTAAAAAAAACCCCAAAACCAAGCCCAAATCTTCAACAGATTTATCATAACAAAAATTTTGCATTATAGAAATTTGCAAATTCATGAGTCAAGAGATCTTTATGTTTTCCCCTTCATAGGGAAGATGTATACAGGAATACCTTATCAATAAAAATAAAAAGGGGGCCCTTCAAACCACAGGCATTCTGCCCCCATTAGTGCTGTCCACCAGATTGTTGGATGTTTGGTGCTTTAGGTACAGTACTGTATACTAAACTTCAGTTTTAATTTTTTACTCACCAATAATGTACAAAAGGGCCACAGTTTTCACAGTTTTCATAAAACTTTCTTCACATCATCTTTCTCCTCTTCACCTCCGACCCTCTCAAATGTCTTCAAAACTGCACTATCTTTTCTGTGACACCTACACTGGGAAAAGTCATTTTTTTTTTTCTGCGAGTATGTATTGCACTCATCTTTTGTTTTTAAATTTTATTATATATCATATTTGTTGATGAATTTTTTTTTTTCATCCAGTCAAATATGTTAAGCTGCAAAACATCTTAGGACTATTCATCCTGGTAGGGCCCGTTATCCAACCTGTGCAGTCAAAGCCTTTTAAAAGAGATTTAAAAGAAGATCCAAGTCGTGATTAAAGTCCCAATAAACTGCATCAAATACTCCCTCTCTCTTCAGTAATAAACCCTTTATTAACTTGATTTTCTGCGGGAACTCATGTGTTTCCCCCTGTCACCCGATACCCCCAGCTCAGATCACTTTTCCCGCCTGCCATCTTTTCTTCTACCATTTATTGCACCCCTTTTTTAATTTTCTTCACGAAACTTATAATCTTAACTGTACGTGGGAAATTTGTTTTCAATAATTTGAAAAGATTAATAAAAGGGCTTAAGGAAAATTTTCATCCACAGTCATCAACTGGCTTGAAATGCACATTTCCTTCTTACTGAAAATAATAAAATTTACAACGCTGCATGAAACATAAGAAGTACTGTATTCATAAAACCAATGTATTCATATCCTGCTCCTATATGATTTTCTAAAATTTAAATATCCTACATCCATGATTTTTTAAACCACCAAAAGTCTGCTACCAAATTTTTATGTATTTACTTAAAATACTATACTAACAACATACATCGTGGAACCTTACTTACAAAATTTAATTTGCTCGTTTGCCCGAGTAAAATTTTTCCCCTTTAAATTAAATTTAAAAGGAATTAAATTTATTCCCGTGGAATTCCCGGCACGACAAAATACTTCAATAATTTCCCTAATATCAACTTTACAGCTTATTTATCTATCACAGTTCATCTAATAAACAATATTAATAACATAGAAACATGATATATATAATAGAATGAATAAAATACATTATTATGTATGTGGTATGGTGGTGACAGTGGCCATTGTTGTAGTTGGGGTTTATAGGGCCACCACAGCGGCCATTCCTGCTTCTGACTACTTGTGTAGAGAACCTAGGATAACTCAAAAAACTCAGACAGTGTGACTTACAATTGCTACATTTAACTGCTACACTCTTAAAGCTACACTTTGTCACTGACTCCTTCTGCTTTAGTATTGTACATATCGTAAAGTGGTACGTTGGTACTGCCTGGCCAAGTCCTTAACCCTCCACCTAGTTTTTTTTATCATTTCTGTAGTATATCTTCCATTCTATCAAATGAGACCAAAAAAAAAAAAGAGAATACAACCATAAAAACCATATTTACATATACTGCTAAGGGGAGGCTAATGACTGAGAAGTGAACTCCGTTATTTATGGTCCGATTTCTTTCATTTTTGGTGTACATTAAGAAGCATCTCTCCATCATACACTGCCCAAGTTTCAATAAGATAGTTCAACAAATAACTGAGATCCAATTCCCTAGATCAAGAGCAAGAGCCCCTCACCAGCATCTAGGAACCTCCCTTGAGGCCCGCTCGCATGTGGAAGCAAAAAACTGACCGAGCGACTGCTCATATCTGGAAAAACTCGCACGTGGATGCACTCGTAAGTAGAGGTTCCACTGTATATTAATGCATCCACAATCCTATATACTCTTAAGTGATTTTTGTCCCAATTTCTCATACTGACATCAAAGCAGATGTAATACTGTAGTAACTACTGGTATGATATCCATTGTAGGCCATATCATTAATACTGTACATATTTTGCATATAAACTTAACTGTAGCACACCACAGTCATGACATATTATAGGTAATTTCTGTCGACAAGTGCTTTTGGAAAAATATTAGAAAAATCCATAACAAAAAATTTAATAAAACACTAGGAGAGGAATAACCTACTAACTAGTAAGCAATTCAACTTTCAGTCTAAAAATTTCTGCAGTGTATACCAAATTAAATGACTGACAGTCACAAAGACTCTAAAATAAAATATAATGCAGAGTACTATGGCTGGAACAATGTACAAATAACCCATACCTAGGAGACTGAAACTTATGACAGCCTCAGTCTCCTATGTATGAGTTATTCGTGTATTTTACAAGAAAAGCTAATGGGCAGATTGTATTTATCTGGATTTTAAGAAAGCTTATGACAGACTTCCAGATAAGAGATTTAATTTGAAAACTTCAGAACAGGAAAAATGAAAGACAGAATATTACAATTATAAAATAATAAAAAATGCTTATAGTGTTTTTCAAGAAGACACATTTGTATTAAAGATTGTTTTACATTTGTAGTTTCTTACGTGGAAAAGCCCATAGTTACGCAAAGAATTTCAGGCAGACTAAACTATAACGTGAGACATGTGACAATCAGTACTTTTTTTTTTTTTCAACAAGTCGGCCGTCTCCCACTGAGGCAGGGTGACCCAAAAAAGAAAGAAAATCCCCAAAAAGAAAATACTTTCATCATAATTCAACACTTTCACCACACTCACACATTATCACTGTTTTTGCAGAGGTGCTCAGAATACAACAGTCTAGAAGCATATACATATAAAGATACACAACATATCCCTCCAAACTGCCAATATCCCAAACCCCTCCTTTAAAGTGCAGGCATTGTACTTCCCATTTCCAGGACTCAAGTCCGACTATAACATTACATATATGTATTATTTGTGCCCCGGTGGCCTGGTGGCTAAAGCTCCCGCTTCACACACGGAGGGCCCGGGTTCGATTCCCGGCGGGTGGAAACATTTCGACACGTTTCCTTACACCTGTTGTCCTGTTCACCTAGCAGCAAATAGGTACCTGGGTGTTAGTCGACTGGTGTGGGTCGCATCCTGGGGGACAAGATTAAGGACCCCAATGGAAATAAGTTAGAAAGTCCTCGATGACGCACTGACTTTCTTGGGTTATCCTGGGTGGCTAACCCTCCGGGGTTAAAAATCCGAACGAAATCTTATCTTATCTTAAGTTTGCCCAAAATGTTCTGCACATTAAGGGGCTTTCTGCATGCGCACCTAAATGTCATTCACCTCTGTACAAACATTGTATCATGCTGAAATCAAAAAATTTTTAATCTTTCCACATTACATTACTCTACTGTTCTCCCAATATTACTTTAAACAATTAATTCCTTAAGTAAAAATAATGGATACTGGCAGAGGACTCACTTTATTGTCTTGGAAGTCTTCATAGTCTTCATCCTGGAAGATGTGCTGTCGGTTGAGGGTGTCGTAGCCTCCCCTACCTTGCCCCATCACAAGACCATCTCCACTTGAACTATTACTGTAGCTGTTGGAGCCACTGCTGCCACTGCTCATGCTCTCACTCCGATGTTGGACAACTATACAGGGCATAGTTTTCAGTGTGGTAAAGATGAGTTGCTACAAACATTTTTACAACTATGGTATGTACTGGTGTACAGTGGAAACTCTGGTCATGATCATAATTCATTCCAAAACTCTGATTGAGACCCAGTTTGGTCGTGACTCGAACCTAATTTCCCCAATGGATAGTATGTAAATATGATTAATCCATTCCAGACTCCTATGAACTGTATGGAAATATTGTTTTTTAAGATTTTTAAGCACAAAAATAGTTAATTATGCCATATAATTCACAGTGTAATAGTAAACTAAATGTAAAAACCTTGAACAACAGAGAAAACTAACATTGCACGAGTCCTAAGAGTTTTAAGCATAGAAAAAATAATCCAAGGTCGACAGAAAGATACGGTGAACCACAGAACAGATTTGTTAAGTACAAAGAAAGCCACTATCATGCCAGGGCATTTTGGGCAAATTAATCCTAATATGTACTTAAAAACTACTTAAGTCTACACAGGATAAGAGTGAATGAGAAGAAAAGGTGGGTGGAGTGTTGAAGCATCTATGGAAAGAAAAACATTTATGAGGCAAAACAACAAAAATGGAAAAGTACCAGAGCATAGTTTTACCAACATTTTTATATGGGTGTGAGGCGTGAATTTTGAATGCAGTGGTGAGAAGGAGGCTCGAGGCAGTGAATATATCATGTTTGAAGGCAATGAAGAAAATTCAGAGTACAGAAATTAAAACGATGTAAGGTCACCAAGGGCATATTTCAGAGAGCTGGGGAGAGGATGATAAGAAAGTTTGGGCATGTAGAGAAGATAGAGAGGGATAGGATGATGAAGAGGATGTATAAATCTGAGATGGAAGGCAGGAGGGGTAAGGGTTATTTCAGGTACAGATGGAAGGAAGGAGTAAAAGGAGCTTTTGAGTTGTAAGGATTTAAGCATTCATGGAGTAGGTTTGTGTGAGCACATTAGATAGGAGTGAGTGGAAACAAGTGGTTTTTAATAAATGTGCTGTTGGAGTGTAAAAAAGGTAGCTTTTATCAAGGGATTCAGGAGTTACTGGTTAGCTGGCCTTGGGTCCAGTTGAGAAGGGCAGTGGCTGAACTCTGAAGGAAAGGTGGGGGGATGTTGCAATTACAGGGTAAACTGCATTGTGATGACAGCAAATTTATGGAAAGACAGTGATTAAACGAACTGCAGTGAATGTGTTTTCTCCTTTGGGTCACATATCTTGGAGGGAGAAGGCTGCTGAAGCAAAAAAATATGGTACAGTAAAGGAAAAAAAAAAGTTTTATGGCGCAGCGTATATATGTTACATATGTAGGTTGGTATGTATCAACATTGTATATATACATATACAGAATAAATATACAGTGGATCCCCGGTTAACGATATTTTTTCATTCCAGAAGTATGTTCAGGTGCCAGTACTGACCGAATTTGTTCCCATAAGGAATATTGTGAAGTAGATTAGTCCATTTCAGACCCCTGAACATACACGTACAAACGCACTTACATAAATACACTTACATAATTTGTCGCATTCGGAGGTGATTGTTATGCGGGGGTCCACTGTACATATATATAATTTATGGATTTAGAAAAGGCATATGATAGAGTGGATAGGGGAGCAATGTGGCAGATGTTGCAAGTATATGGAATAGGTGGTAAGTTACTAAATGCTGTAAAGAGTTTTTATGAGGATAGTGAGGCTCAGGTTAGGGTGTGTAGAAGGGAGGGAGACTACTTCCCGGTAAAAGTAGGTCTTAAACAGGGATGTGTAATGTTACCATGGTTGTTTAATATATTTACAGATGGGATTGTAAAACAAGTAAATGCTAGGGTGTTCGGGAGAGGGGTGGGATTAAATTATGGGGAATTAAATACAAAATGGGAATTGACACAGTTGCTTTTTGCTGATGATACTGTGCTTATGGGAGATTCTAAAGAAAAATTGCAAAGGTTAGGGGATGAGGGTGAGAATGTGTGTAAAGGTAGAAAGTTGAAAGTGAACATAGAAAAGAGTAAGGTGATGAGGGTATCAAATGATTTAGATAAAGAAAAATTGGATATCATATTGGGGAGGAGTATGGAAGAAGTGAATGTTTTCAGATACTTGGGAGTTGACGTGTCGGCGGATGGATTTATGAAGGATGAGGTTAATCATAGACTTGATGAGGGAAAAAAGGCAAGTGGTGCGTTGAGGTATATGTGGAGACAAAGAACGTTATCTTTGCAGGCAAAGAAGGGAATGTATGAAAGTATAGTAGTACCAACACTCTTATATGGGTGTGAAGCTTGGGTTGTGAATGCAGCAGCGAGGAGGCGGTTGGAGGTAGTGGAGATGTCCTGTCTAAGGGCAATGTGTGGTGTAAATATTATGCAGAAAATTCGGAGTGTGGAAATTAGGAAAAGGTGTGGAGTTAATAAAAGTATTAGCCAGAGGGCTGAAGAAGGGTTGTTGAGGTGGTTTGGTCATTTAGAGAGAATGGATCAAAGTAGAATGACATGGAGAGCATTTAAATCTGTAGGGAAAGGAAGGCGGGGTAGGGGTCATCCTCGAAAAGGTTGGAAGGAAGGGGTAAGGGAGGTTTTGTGGGCAAGGGGCTTGGACTTCCAGTAGGCATGCATGAGCATGTTTGATAGGAGTGAATGGAGATGAATGGTATTTGGGTCCTGACAATCTGTTGGAGTGTGAGCAGGGTAATATTTAGTGAAGGGATTCAGGGAAACCAGTTATTTTTATATAGCTGGACTTGAGTCCTGGAATTGGGAAGTACAATGCCTGCACTCTAAAGGAGGGGTTTCGGGATATTAGCAGTTTGGAGGGATATGTTGTGTATCTTTATACGCATATGCTTCTAAACTGTTGTGTTCTGAGCACCTCTGCAAAAACAGTGATTATGTGTGAGTGAGGTGAAAGTGTTGAAGGATGATGAAAGTACGTATTTTCTTTTTGGGGATTTTCTTTCTTTTTGGGTCACCCTGCCTCGGTGAGAGACGGCCGACTTGTTAAAAAAATATATATATATATATATACAGTGGACTCTCAACCAACGATATTAATCCGTTCCTGAGAGCTCATCGTTAGTCGAAATTATCGTTTGTTGAGTTAATTTTTCCCATAAGAAATAATGGAAATCAAATTAATCCATTCCTGACACCCCAAAATATTGAAAAAAAAAAATTTTACCACATGAAATATTAATTTTAATACACACAAACTGAAGAAGACATGTACAATTACATGACGCTTTCCTTTATTGAAGATCTGGTGATGACTGATGGGATGGGAGGAGGGGAGAGTGTGGATGGTGTTAGTGTTTAGAAGGGGAATCCCCATCCATTAGGACTTGAGAAGGGAAGTAACCCCGAAAAAGGACTTGCCACCTCAAGTCCTAATGGAAGGGGATTCCCCTTCTAAACACTAAGACCATCAACACACTCCCCTCTTCCCATCCCATCAATCATCACCAGATCTTCAATAAAGGTAAGTGTCATGTAACTGTGCATGTCTTCTTCAGTTTGTGTGTATTAAAATTAATATTTCATGTGTTAAAATTTTTTTTTTTCAATACTTTTGGGTGTCTTGCACGGATTAATTTGATTTCCATTATTTCTTATGGGGAAAATTAACTTGACTAACGATTATTTTGACTAACGATGAGCTCTCAGGAACGGATTAATAGCGTTAGTCGAGGGTCCACTGTATATATATATATATATATATATATATATATATATATATATATATATATATTATATATATATATATATATATATATATTATATATATATATATATATATTATAAGAGAAAATGTATAAAATTGTCAGCCATATTAGGCACTTACTATTCATTTATGTAAATCTATCCTCTATGATATATTCCTATGTAGCAAGTACTCAGAAGAATGACTAACTGTGCAGATTGGCTTGATCCATAGCAAGGTAGGGGAGAGAGGCAGAGGAGCGAGTCCTGATCCTGAGGGTGGGGTAGGAGAGTGCCAGTGCCTCCAGCTGTAGTACCAGCCCACGACGAAGACATTCCAGCTTCCCACTCAAGGGCTCTCCAGGCAGCGCTTCACTCAGGAAGTAGTGCACTCCTGGCCAGGGCAGAGAGAGGGGTTTTAAATGTAGGTGTTTGTATTGTTGCATCTACAGTATTACACTGAATTAACACATACACATACCTCGTAACAATGTGGGTTAGAACTCTTTTATGAATATAATAATAATAATAAGAAGAGGGAGAAGAATAACTCACCAATCAAAAGGCAGGTGTAAAAACCCATTTAAGATACGTAGAACAAAAATAATGAAAAAACAAAACAAAACAGAGAATTGACTAGAACGCCAAGGGATGAGTAAATCGAAGCATGGTGGGAAATACAGTGAGTTTGAAAATTACACTGAGTGTCAGAGCAAAAGATCGTACAAAACTATCGTGAGTCATGTAAGAAAAAAAAATCATTGTTAGAAATCAAGCAGCCAAATTACAAAAAGAATGTGGAACTACTAAAGAATAACAGAAACATTTGAGTAACTTTATAAAAAGATCCCTTGAGTAGTTCATATTTGAATTTGCATGGACATTTCCAAAAGAGTGAGAGGGAACACTGCTCCAAGGAATACTAGCACATATAATGCTGAAGAAAGTGGTAAAGGAACACGAAATAACTGGATAAAGTTACGGGAATAAGATTGGACAAAATTTCATGCCGAATACAGATTGCAAACAGAAGAAACATACCGGTTACCCTAGCAAGATAGGGCGACCCCATCCCCCCTAGAAAAGGACACACCAACCTTGTGATCCGCATACATCATAATTTAAATGATTCAACAAACTGCATTATCCCCATCCCTCCTTCAAAGAGCATTTACTGTACTTCCTACCTCTATGACTCAAGTTCGACTTATTTCCCTACCTTGTTCACATTTCAACGACACGTTAAGCCATAAAAACCACGTCTCCACTCCAATTTGCTGTATGGCCCTTAAGGGTTTAGCGCTTCATTATGATTATAACAATAATAACCCACTCTGATTTAACATGCTCACACAATCCTGCTGGATGCTAAAGTCCCTAGCACTCAAAACCTCCTTCATCCATCCTGGGATGACCCTTGCCCCTCCTTCCTTCCACTCAGTTTTATACACTTTCTTGGTCATTATATGCTGCACTATCTTCTCTAATTGCTCAAACCATTTCATCATCCCTTCCTCAGCCCTCAATCGTACCTTCGTTAACCTCGCTTGCAGGAATATCAGCACTGAGAGGTGCCAATATCCGATGCCTTCTCTCCGTGTCCAATAGGGAAAATTTACATTTGCGTCTTGCCTATTATTAACCTAACTGAAAGAAGATGAATGCATAACATGCAACAGTTTAAAATGCAAATAATTTAAAAAATGGAAAAGCTGGTTGGGCTATGGAGGTTAGTAAACTTTAACATGTACCTTACAGACAAATGAGTCAGAATTATAAATACAGTTATATGGAATCCTTTATTAGCGCAGTTTCGCCCATACAATGAGCTGAATGAAGCCACAAACAGAGAATTGATTGTAGCTTGATAAAGTTCACTGTGTGGAAGAAACGTCATAAATAAAGATTACAGTTTCATAAGGTTAGGATAGGTAGAAGGTATATCTATACCGACGATAGATGAAAGGACGAGTGCATACAATTAGTACATCTTTATTAGATATGTTTCGATCCTGGGACCTTGGTCACTCCAAATGATTGAGTGACCAAGGTTCCAGGATCGAGACGTAGCCAATAAAAATGTCCTGAGTGTATATATACACTTGTGTCTTTTCATTCACAAAGTATAATAAAACATGAACAATGAAAAGTAGAAAACCACTTGGAGAGAAAATTAAAACAGATATAAAAGAGGTTTGGATGTTTTGGTCTCGGTCTGCTGAAGAGGGTCTCCGACAGGCCGAAAGATAGATTTCTTTTCGGCACGTTTTAACTGTGTATCTAAGTAGTGTTTCACTTTCTTGCCATTGCATAACAGTTCGTCTTCGCAGTGTTAATGAGGAGCGTATCGTTTGTAACGAATTAAACCCGGACAGTGTATTACCCACTGCCAGACCCTACCCTCCTATTAAGTAATTTGGTTATTGGCGGGTGCATATGCATAACTTTAAGATAATTTATATTCAAAGTAATATAACCAAACTTAAAATAACAAATATATAATTTTGCTGGTTGATTAGATCGAATATTTGGCTCAGAATAATTACTATGTAGCGATAAACTCGTAAGGGTTATACAGCACCTGGAAGAATGGAAGGCAATCTGAGTTGATCTAAGGAATGGGAAGGGTAGCTCTGGTTCCCTAGATCAAGAGCTCTTCATCGATATCAAGCAGCTTTCAATTTGGCCAGAAATTTCTGACTATAATGTTCAGTGTTAAAGAAGGAAGATGAGGCAGGAGGTAATGTAAAGTGTCAGGTACGCAAGACACTCCACCAATGATACAAGCAGAATAATACTCATCACTACAGAAATAAGAAGAAAGAAGGAACACTGAAACATGGCCCATGCGGGGCAGGTCCATGTCAACCCCCGGCTTAGACCAATGGCCCACCCAGTCAGGTCACCTCCACTTAAGGAGGGAGAACGGCATCTAACCCAGTAGCACCAGCTAGTCAGGTCCAACTCACACCCACCCGCACCCACTCATGTATTTATCTAAAGTGTTTTTAAAATTACACAACGACTTTTATGAATTTTTTATGAGAGAGCCACAAAATTTGATTAACACAAGCCTATCCGATGTTATCCTGACGCCAAATGACTTCGAACAGGCGATAAATGACATGCCCATGCACTCTGCCCCAGGGCCAGACTCGTGGAACTCTGTGTTCATCAAGAACTGCAAGAAGCCCCTATCACGAGCCTTTTCCATCCTATGGAGAGGGAGCATGGACACGGGGGTCGTTCCCACAGTTACTAAAACAAACAGACATACCCCCACTCCACAAAGGGGGCAGTAAAGCAACAGCAAAGAACTACAGACCAATAGCACTAACATCCCATATCATAAAAACTTGAAAGGGTCCTTTAAAAAGCAAGATCCCCCACCCATCTAGAAACCCATCAGTTACACAACCCAGGGCAACATGGGTTTAGAACGGGTCGCTCCTGTCTGTCTCAACTATTGGATCACTACGACAAGGTCCTAAATGCACTAGAAGACAAAAAGAATGCACATGTAATATATACAGACTTTGCAAAAGCCTTCGACAAGTGTGACCATGGCGTAATAGTGCACAAAATGCGTGCTAAAGGAATAACAGGAAAAGTCGGTCGATGGATCTATAATTTCCTCACTAACAGAACACAGAGAGTAGTCGTCAACAGAGTAAAGTCCGAGGCAGCTACGGTGAAAAGCTCTGTTCCACAAGGCACAGTACTCGCTCCCATCTTGTTCCTCATCCTCATATCTGACATAGACAAGGATGTCAGCCACAGCACCGTGTCTTCCTTTGCAGATGACACCCGAATCTGCATGACAGTGTCTTCCATTGCAGACACTGCAAAGCTCCAGGCGGACATCAACCAATCTTTCAGTGGGCTGCAGAAAACAATATGAAGTTCAACGATGAGAAATTTCAATTACTCAGATATGGTAAACATGAGGAAATTAAATCTTCTTCATCAGAGTACAAACAAATTCTGGCCACAAAATAGAGCGAAACACCAACGTCAAAGACCTGGGAGTGATCATGTCGGAGGATCTCACCTTCAAGGACCATAACATTGTATCAATCGCATCTGCTAGAAAAATGACAGGATGGATAATGAGAACCTTCAAAACTAGGTCACTTGTTCTATCTAGGCTGGAATATTGCTGCACACTAACAGCACCTTTCAAGGCAGGTGAAATTGCCGACCTAGAAAATGTACAGAGAACTTTCACGGCGCGCATAACGGAGATAAAACACCTCAATTATTGGGAGCGCTTGAGGTTCCTAAACCTGTATTCCCTGGAATGCAGGAGGGAGAGAAACATGATTATATACACCTGGAAAATCCTAGAGGGACTAGTACCGAACTTGCACACGAAAATCACTCACTACGAAAGCAAAAGACTTGGCAGACGATGCACCATCCCCCCAATGAAAAGCAGGGGTGTCACTAGCACGTTAAGAGACCATACAATAAGTGTCAGGGGCCCGAGACTGTTCAACTGCCTCCCAGCACACATAAGGGGGATTACCAACAGACCTCTGGCAGTCTTCAAGCTGGCACTGGACAAGCACCTAAAGTCAGTTCCTGATCAGCCGGGCTGTGGCTCGTACGTTGGTTTGCGTGCAGCCAGCAGCAACAGCCTGGTTGATCAGGCTCTGATCCACCAGGAGGCCTGGTCACAGACCGGGTCGCGGGGGCGTTGACCACCGGAACTCTCTCCAGGTAAACTCCAGGTCCAGGTAATAACGGTGCTTGGGAGTGTGTTCCAATCATCCACAACTCTATTACCAAACCAGTGCTTTCCTATATCTTTCCTGAATCTGAATTTTTCCAGCTTAAAACCATTGCTGCGAATCCTGTCTAGGCTAGATATTTTTAGCACGCTATTTACATCCCCTTTATCCATTCCTGTTTTCCATTTATACACCTCAATCATATCCCCCCTAATTCTACGCCTTTCTAGAGATTGCAGATTCAGGGCTCTCAGCCTATCCTCATAGGGAAGATTTCTGATATATGGGATCAACTTTGTCATCCTCCTCTGTACGTTTTCCAGAGCATTTATATCCATTCTGTAATACGGTGACCAGAACTGTGCAGCATAATCTAAATGAGGCCTAACCAAGGATATACAGAGTTGAAGAACTTGAGGATTTCTGTTAATTATGCTTATTGATATGAAGCAAAGGATTCGGTTAGCTTTATTGTGAACGCTTATGCACTGTTGTCTTGGTTTTAGATTACTGCTAACCAGAACTACTAAATCCTTTTCTCAATCAGTAATATAAAGATCTACATTATTTAGTTTATATGTGGCATGGTTATTATCCTTTCCAACATTTAGAACTTTGCGTTTGTCTATATTATACTGCATCTGCCACTTCTCCGACCATT